TGCATCCACCAATGCATTCTTTCAAGGGAGATCATGCGACGACTCCTTGCCGCTCGTTTGGTCCATTGAGCTTCGTGGAGTTGTTGTTTTTGAGCTACTCCTCAATATGTGTGGTCTGTTACATATGATTTTCCTTCTGGAGAGCCGGGATTTATCCCTCCTGGATGTCTATACCGTTGGAGCAACATGTCTCTTCGTTTCGGAGACCACCATCCCCTTGGACTACTCCGATTTGCTGAACAAACTACGTATTGTTCTGCCTCCTACAAACGCACTTGCTAGATTGCGACTCCACGTCAATACAACCCCCACTACACCACTCAAGGCCTAGCAACATGCTGAACTCGCTGCACACTTCAGCCTCCTATGGACGTATCCTTCATATGTCGAAGAAAAAGTTTCAATGCTCCATTACGCCGAGTTTCGGTCGCCTTGGGATGGCCGCGAACATTCTATCGTCCGCATACAAGCCTATGCATGAGTATCGAATTCTTCGAGTTAGCAATTCCCCTCACCTCTGTGAGCTTTGCACAACTCTTTTAGTCGCTTAGCAACTCATTCCACCTTGCATGGTCTCATCCTTTACCAAGCGCCTCGCTTGCCTTGAGCACCATTAAGTATAGTTGTCAACGTTGAGCCGTAGCTTAAACTCAACCATCCCAACCTTTGTGCGCTTCGCATTCTTCCAAGCTTGCTTGTTCTCGTGGTGCCTCTTGCACGAAGGGTTGGCCATTCCCTTAAATGCCAATCTCAGATGCTCGCTCCTCCGAGCGACTTATTTTTCCTACATCTCTATGCTCGTTTTCCCCCAAACGGTCACGCGTGTGCTGACTGCCCTCAACGCAGCCCCGCTAGGTCCCCCACGTTTGCATGCCAAGTGTTTATATGAGTGCTTGTCCGGCTCTGATACCATCTGTCACGGACATAGCTGGTTTTGCCTAAGTTGTGCAGCACCCTTGCGTGTCCGTCCGCAAAGGTCAGCCTCCCCGAAGCCTCCCATAATCCCTTAGGACCTACAAAAGAGAAAACGGGTTAGAGAAAACGTCTCACTCGGGATCCATAAGCAAATATTTCGGAAAATACTTCATAGACAATGTAAATTACAAACAGACTTTACAAGCTCTGAATGGTTGCACAACAAAGGGTCAAAATGGTCCACTAGAGACCGAAAATCTCTCACAAGTGTCTACATGATACAACCTTTATTTACAAGCCTAAGAAGGCTACCAAACCCAACTAAAATGAGGCTTTTAAGCCTTCGACCGCCCCTCTACATGCTGTGCAAAGCATGAACAAACCAAAAGACACGGACATATATAAGTATTACATCAAACATCCTGTTTAGAACTTTGTCCGAGACAGTATGCAGGCTTGGACTTTACCAATCTTGATATGAATTTGTTTGATTAGATTATGATTTATTGACCCTGCAAAGGCCTAAAATGTGGCTTTTGGAAAATCAACGTCATTTATTGCTGTAAATAACTGGTGCTAAATAATCATAAAATATCCTGATAACAATGGATTCTATGATCAGTTGAGAAGTCTCCTCTCATCTAGACATGACTACTCTGATGGTCTTGATTTCAGATGAGGTAAACAAGTGGGTAGTCCGGCTATTAATTTTTCTAAGCAGTGCAATATGCATATAGGATGATGTGGATGATGAAAAAGAAAGTTTTTTTTGTAGAAAGTTCACAGATTTTGTTTTGCTTCAAAAAAGATGGTGAAAAGTTTGGGATTTTTGCCATGCGGATTCGATTACTTGTTGACAAAGTAAAATAGTTACGCTAGTTCTTGTGAGACATAGTCATACAGAAGCAATACTGTCATATAGCAAGCTAAAATCAGTGTAACTTTTTAAGTTTATTATCCCAAGCGTACTGAATGAATCAAGTTAACCATTCACCAATGATGATTAGTTGCTTCAGTAATGTTGTCTCCCATCGAACTGAATCAAAAGTCAAGTTCTCACTTAACTACTTGTCTGACCAATGGAGTAAAAGCTTCCCTTCACAATCCTGTTGTAGGCAAGTTTTGAATCTACACTGTCTGTTGAGAGGTGAACTTCTAAAAAGTGCAGAGGTCAGGTTAATTTGTCAAGCTTTTGCTGGTGGTTTGTGTAGGCTTCACAACATTAACTTGCTATTTTTTTTGTGATTACAGGGAAATTACATCTCAATGATGTAATTGACTCAATTACTCTGTTCTTTCTTCATTTTCATATTTTCTTTAATTAGATGCATATGACATTCTTTGTGCTGTCTTTTCCGCATTATCCCTTCTCTATCTTTATCTTACAGCCAACTAATTCAGGTTAATCTGAGGAAAAGGCGTCACAGTGTTTCTGGGGCACTACGTGAGAGCAACACTTGAATTGCAAGAAGGAACTCGGCATGCAGAATGAAGCTGCTTCAAATGGAGTTGCAGAGCAGTGACTTTTGTGCTATGCATCTGAAGCAAACCTGGGGTTAGTGATTATTTTGACACTTCAAAACTTCTGTTCATGATTGGTGAACCACATTTTAGCAAGACTTGCTACCAGAAGAATTAGACAAACTTAACCATGGCTAAGCTGGTGCTCTGTAGGATGAGAGTTATAGTTAAAGGTGAAGTACTGAAGTTTCAGCCATGATTACTGCCAAATCATCACGACAATTTTGTTATTGTGCCGCTGCACTGCAGTCTGTTGTTCGGATCTACTCCAGCAGCAATGTAAGGTCATGTAGTTGTTGATCATACTGCTAGAATATATGTGCTATCATGTACTATGTTGCTACTTGTTCTTACCTGATAGAGATAGTAGTGGACACTTGTGATTCTTCCATCTTTACTTGGAAGGTGAACATTTAAAAGGACAATTACAATTCAATGATCCTTGAAAAACAATCATCTGTTTGTTATAATGCTCGACAAAAAATTACACATCTTTGTGTTTTTCTTCAACTTTACACTTGGATGAAATCCTCTAATTACAGTATATCCAAATTAGAGGATTTAGTCAATATTTTAATGGTCTATTTTCTGCTGAGATCTCTCTTAGACAGAAACTACAACTCTGATTTGCTTGATGTTTGAAATTAGAAACAAATCCAGCTTAACATGGCAGAAAACAAAGTCTCATGAATCATTTATTCATTAGAATATTTGCCTGACAGTTATGCATCTCATGCATGTTAATTTCGAAAAAGAAACCGCATGTATTTAATGCCGGTATAAAAGTAGGTGATCAGTGACGAGTAGATGAAGTTGGATGGTTGCTGATGTTGCCTTCTCCTTGGTCGGTGGTGTGGGTCCCGCTGGATGCTGTTAACGCACCCTCGGAAGCTGGTAATTCCCATCTATACCCATATGTTTTAACTTGACGTATCTATCCATCCCCGTAAGATTTGCTATAGAACTCCAATTAAGATAAATGCTCTTCATAATTATTACATAAGATTTCCATAAATTGGTAATTTTTTCGTGACTTACTCCTTTGGATAATTTAAGTTTCCAATGAAATTATTAAGCAATATTACAATAATATTAAATTTCGGCTCTACGCGGCACTCTTCCTCTCGTAGCGGACGATCCATTCCAAAGCTGGTGGGACCCGTCGCATTTAACCACGTTATCAAATGGCGTTCCGGCTGTTGCTTTGGAGTACAAGTAACGTTGTCATTAGCCCGACGCCATGAGGAACACATTCCATGAGGATAGCGTAAGACTTGACCATTTACTGGTCTAAGTTACCCGTTTGTTTACCCGTATCTTTACTGGGAGAAAACCGGTCGCGCTATATTGTTCCGTCAAATTGTCCAATAAATGAAGGGTTTCGGCTGGGTATCTACTGGTTAAGTATGGTAACTATTATTGGAAATTAAGAGGATATTTTATGGTGTCTTAAACGTGTCAGTTATCCGGTGGTCCGTGATCCACCAATCACAGTACGCAAGGAGCGGATTAAAGGCGGGGGAGGAGGAGGTCGAGCAGTAGCCACCTAACCCTTCGTCAATGGATCACCTTTTCGTCTCCGTCCTCCTCCTCTTGTGTTCGGTGGCGGCCGCCTCTTCCTTCTCCGGCAACGCCGCCGGAGCCGACGGCGATCCGCTGATCCTGCAGGTGGTGGACGACGAGAAGGGCGAGCTGGCGCTGAGCGCGGAGGCGCACTTCGCCAGCTTCGTGAGGCGGTTCGGGAAGACGTACGCCGACGAGGAGGAGCGCGCCCTCCGGTTCAAGGTGTTCAAGGCGAACCTGCACCGGGCGGCGCGGTACCAGCGGCTCGACCCCACCGCCATCCACGGCGTCACCAAGTTCTCCGACCTTAGCCCCGCCGAGTTCCGCCGCGCTTACCTCGGCCTCCGCCGCCCCGAGGCCCACAAGTCCACCCACGAGGCCCCCATCCTCCCCACCGACGATCTCCCCACTGATTTCGACTGGAGGGACTATGGCGCCGTCACCGGCGTCAAGAATCAGGTCCTCTAGATCTAACGGCCGATCCTTCGTTTAGCTTCTTCTCTCACTTGCTTGTCCTGATATCATATTTTTCTCTTTCTTTTTAGGGTTCTTGTGGCTCGTGCTGGTCCTTCAGCACCGCAGGGGCTCTGGAAGGGGCGAACTTTTTGGCCACCGGAAAGCTAGAAAGCCTCAGCGAGCAGCAGCTCGTGGATTGCGATCATGAGGTCTCTCTCTCTCTCTCTCTCTCTCCACCTTATTCTAATTGAGTCCAAAAAAGAGAGAACCTTTAGTCAAATTCTAGTCTCTGTTACTCTATGCCTTGTGGAATTTGTTCCGAATAGTTATTTAGATGGAAGATTTTGTTTTGATTAGCTTGTGGTGGTATTATTTGACAGTAAGTGAAAGTACCCTTCCAGGAAAAGGTTATTATTTTTTGGATCGAAGGGTCTGAGACTGTTGCAGGGAAGTGCTCGAATCATTTTAAGATGTGGATTTTGAGAAAGTACATGAGGACAGAGCACTTATCACACTTAATTATAGTGCACGGCCTATTTTTTAGATAAATTATTGACAGGCAACAACTCAGCTGAAGGATACACTGCAAACATATTTGGTTCGCAGTGATGTACATTAGATTCTTTCACGTTTCGATGATGGGGTATTATTGGGTAGTATAGCTTATACTTTACCATTTCCAATTGGAATATTTAGAAACTATATTTTCTTTTGTTTTCATTCCTATTATCTCCATTTGACTTTTATGATGATTGATTTGGATCCTTTTCAACATTATTCAAAGTTTATTTCAATTCGCACTCATCTATTCATTTGCAATTTAAACTCATTTACTTGCCACAATAAATGCCGGATAAGAAAATTGCATATCACATTGAGGTCTGTTCAATGACCATAATCCTAGAGCAATTTCTAAAGGTCTCCAGTACTTTAAATTTATTTCCACTTAAGATCCCTCTACATACCTTTTGCCTCATGTTACATGGATGATTTCTATGCAAGCATGCAATGGAAGGCAAAGGTCATGTAGGAAGGGTGTAAGTGGGTAGAACCCAAAATGGGGCCTACGTGTGAAATAAAGGTCATCTTCAGAAAAATAGAAATAACTTATATGTTTGTAATAATTGTCATAAAAATCCATCCAGAATGTAACAATTAGTTGTTTTATAAGATATTTGATCTTGTTCTTCAAACACTATCGTTCACACAATTATGATAAGTAATGCATAAATTTGGCATTGGATCTTTTATTAAAAAGTTCAAGATCTAGTGCACCATCAACTCAAACTCTTTATAGATCATACCTGTTTTTCTTTAATCTATTATGAAGTTAAGTGATGTGTAGATATATCCAGTCGGAATTATCGATGATGACAATGAAATGGTATAACCTACAAATACAGACATTTGAGGAATCGTTTCATCTCTAGGCTACTCTTGATCTAGAGTAATACTATGAGGTAAAAGTGACACTAACATAGCAGAGAGAACTGTTGCTATGGTTGATATCATTAAGAAGGCTATTAACCTCTTGAAACTCTTATGTTTTCTAGTCTTCAATTTATCTGAAAGTTAATTGATTCCACACCAGAAGTTGAAATGTTCTTTTTTTCTTTTTGGCAAAACTTAGAGCAACTGCTATGCTGTGAACTGAAGATTATAGTATAATATGAAATTTTGCACAGGCTTGTAGATTTACCAGCATTCTCTTTCCTGATGTGTGTAAAAAGAAAGATCTAGATATATTTAACTTTATGGAGTCTTGATCGTCAAAATGTCATATAATTCTGCCCAGCTTATAGAACTGTGAACAATATTCAATTAAATGACTCTGTCAAAACTTTATATTCCTTCCATAATATCTGGATTAGTTTATATATGAGAATAGGCTATCTGGTACAAGCGGCCTTCATTACTGCCGGCAAATATGAGCTCAACTCTTGGACACATCACATGTGCCAAGTGCCCATTTTGTTGCTGCAGTGATAACCACAAGGATATACAACTATAAACTACAGGTAAAGATACATTTTGTTGTAGTGCCATACTCCAATGATGTCAGTTTATTGTGGCTTAATTTTGTACTTTTCCTAACCTTCTATATTTATTTTAGCTCTTGCTCCTTTTTTCTTGATCTATTTCTTCATACAAGTACTTTACATTATCTGGTTTATTCTCTAGCCGGTAATGGTGACAACATTTTGTGAGGAATGTAAAGTTTAACTTTTAATGTGGTATATTTGTGGTCAGTGTTATTATAGCTCTTACTCAAGGCATTTTTCATAATTTTGCAGTGTGATTCAGATGAACCTGATGCATGCGACCAAGGATGCAATGGCGGTCTTATGACAACTGCATTCCAGTATTTACTGAAATCTGGTGGGCTTGAGCGCGAGGAAGACTACCCTTACACTGGGACAGACCGTGGTTCTTGCAAGTTTGACAAGTCGAAAATTGCTGCTTCAGTTCAAAACTTCAGTGTTATCTCCACTAATGAAGATCAAATTGCTGCAAACCTTGTGAAACATGGCCCTCTTGCAAGTAGGTGATCTTAGTCCAAGTTTCATGTCATTATCTGGTTGAATTAGGAAAACTATCTGCATTAATAGCTTTTTACAAGTCACTAGGAATAGGTAGTCAATTAAAAAAAAGACTCACCTTCTTTATTCTTGTGTTTGGTTTTCATTTGTGCCTTGATCTCCTATCACGGGCTACAACCTTTATAAGACAACCAATGACTGATCACTGATGATGGAGAAATCAACACATTATGTAGGGCGGATAACAAATGACACATTGTGATGAATTAACATTTAGTTTTACTCCATTTTTTCCATGTTTCATATGATGATGGGATTGTTACTCATGTCTGTCATCCTTGTTGCAGTTGGTATAAATTCAGTGTTCATGCAAACATATATAGGAGGTGTCTCATGCCCTTATATTTGTGGAAGGCATTTGGATCATGGTGTGCTCCTGGTGGGCTATGGTTCTGCTGGTTATTCACCAATTCGCCTAAAGGACAAGCCCTTCTGGATCATAAAGAACTCCTGGGGTGAAAACTGGGGAGAGCATGGCTACTACAAGATCTGCAGGGGTCGAAATATATGTGGAGTGGATTCCATGGTCTCTTCTGTGAGTGCAATTCACACTCAACAAGATCAGTAAAGATCATCTGCCCTTGTGCACTGTGATGGATGTATTGATGCAAAGGGGCATACTCTTAACTCCATAACCATGGAGTTATTTCTGGCATCTAAAACTGCTTGTAGTTATTGAAAGATACTATTATTTGCCAGCTTCCATGCAAACACTAGGTTGTAGTACGTGTATGTTCATGTGGTGTTGTAAGTTCTCTTTGATGTAAAAGCTATATGTAAAAATGATTTCATGGTTTCTGTTAGCTATCATTGTTGTGCATGTTATAGACTTGTTCTTTGCTTACTTTCCTTTTATCTTATTAACATCTTTCTCTCTCTTGATAATTGGACATGTTGATATCCACTAAGATTAAGACAAACGTCTATGTTTAAGTTAATTATATATTATTTTTTGAAATTAGTTATTTTGTACGGTTTTTATATTTTTAAAAAATTTATTAAGATTTTTATTAGTGAAAAATTTTATTAAGATTTTTATACTTATGTAAGTGAAATATTTAATTTTATATTTTTTTGTTGATAGAAATATTATGATCAAGTAAGTATAAGAATCCAAATATCAAAGATAATTAATTATAGAAATAAAGATATCTCTCCCGAGTGAGAGACTTTCTCTCTCTCTCTCTCTCTCTCTCCCTAAATGTTACGTGTTGGAGTCTACGCAACGTGTTTGCCCTTTACGTGGGATCTATATGTATCAACCAATGAAAAGTTGGGTAATCGCGTCAGGCCGAAACCGTGGCGACTGATGTGCTTTTGCACCACCGAACTGATCCGACCCCGATCCCGCGTCGATGGCACGCAAGTCGGCGCGGATGTAATAAAGATACTCCGCGAAAGCCGCTCGTACATCTGCCTTCCTGTGATTGGATGTTGATCTGCTGGGCCCCGCCTATAACAAGAGAGATGCGTCGCGCGTAAACTAGCAGGTGAAACACAACCGTGCATGCCTCGTGTTATCTCAGTTCCTATTGGAACCTTCCAGCCTCCGCCTCTATTGGTCTCGCCCTACCATCTTGTTCCTAGTCGGCGGAGGCATTCTTCCTGCAGGAGGGGAGGAGGATGACTCATATCCTTATCTGAGATCGGTAGATTTCGATTCAGTTCTTGGGCTTTGTTGTCTTTTAATTCCCCATTGTTTAACCTGAGATCACGATCTCCGATTTTTGATCGGTTTTCGACCTTTTCTTGGTATAATCGTACGATTTCTTTCTTTGTCTTCCGTCTGTGTTGATGTTTCTCTTAATTCCGATTCACGGGGAAACCAGAGGGAGGTCGACCGACAGAGGTCGCAAACCCGAAAGGCTCAGATGAAGCAGAGAGACGACGGCCTGACCCCTGAACAGCGCCGCGAGAGGTATCCTCCCCTTGATCTGAATGATTCGTTCCGTTTTCCATGTTCTTGATTTCTTTCTAGAGATACTCCAATTGATGCGGTAATTGATGGGAATAACCTGATCTAGAGTTGTGTTGATGTTGCGTAGGGATGCGAAAGCGCTGCAGGAGAAGGCAGCTAAGAAGGCTGCAGGAGCAGCGGCAGGAGGGGGAGGCGCCACCGACTCCAAAAACAAAGGCAACGCCAAGAAGTAGCAACCGGAGTTCGATCATTCGGTAAAAAAAAGACATCTTTGGTTGAGTGTCATACTGTCATGTTGTAGTCTTATCTGTTTTCTTCCTGATGGTTCTCATCTGTTGATGTTGCATGAACTATGCATGCTGAATGGTCTGTTTTCTGTGCAACTTAGTTCTGATCCTGATGTAGCTACTGATTGATTTTGAGGGCGTGCACCTAATAAATGAAGAGATGCTTTGCATAAGCTTCTTAATTTGCAGTTTGCTAGTTGCAGCATTATTTATTTCTTCTAATTGGTTGGTCTCATGTAGTTTTGCTTTTGTGAACTGAATAGAATTCAAGTTGCTCGGCGAATATAGGAAGTAAACCTTGGATATTAGGATTTGATTATTTTATAGGTATCATATAGTGTAGGGGGGGAAAAAAAACACTTTGAATTTTTTTCTTAAGGTTGAAAGAACAATTCTTCGGAATGTGTTGGAGAGTGTACAAAGAACTTTATGCAGAGAGTATATAAGGAGCTTTAAGTGAGAGTTGTTATTCTGTGAATGGTTTGAAGTTTTCATTATAAATGTAAATAACAAGTGTTAAACCATTTGGTATTATCATTATTGTTTTGGTATCAAAAGTGTTCTTTTGTACAACATGGATCTTCCAAAGTGTAGCTTTTCTAAACTCAGCTCCAACTTACTACTACATTGCATTTTAGGAAATTTGACAAAGAAAACATGATTGATCTTAGCTTATTGGTGATGACAACCATCAACATTTTATCATAAGAAGGATTTCTTGCTGTTCTATAATTTTTTTTCCCTTTGTTGAGTGTGAGCAAATTTAGATTTGAAGCTAAGCAAAAGTTGTTCATGAAGATAAAAAATGATAATTTTTTACCCTCATGCTATATTGATGTTTGATTAGTTCTCATTCTTGTTTAAATGAATTTGTGTCATCTTGATTTAATAAGATGTATAAAAGGTTTTTACAATGTGGTTGATAGGATACAGGAAAACGTAGATAGGATACTATTTTGGTTTTTGATTCCCTTACTGCTGTGCCATTGAGTGCCAGGACTATAAGATGTAGGTCATCTTGCATGAATAGTATAACATGGAGTCTTATCTGCTGCCCTTGGAGACATGTTTGACATTGTACTTTAGATAATAGCACAGGCTGCTGTGGGACTATGATTTGTTTGTGGAAGACTTTAGGACACCGTTGTTCCAATTTGATGATTTAGTGCATTGCAGTAAGACTTTAGAACTGCTTGGCAAAGGAGAGCTGTCACATTCCGAATTTATAAAAAGAATAATAAATCAGTAATTTATTATCCATAATTTACATAATAAACTCTTTTTTTTTTCATTCATTTTTGAATTCAAATTATTATTTTACAGTAGTAAATATTCTATTAACTAATAAAATGATATCTTCTTCGTAGGATTACAAGTCTCTTCCACCCATATTACACAATGATAGATTACTCTGAAAATAAATATAAAATAAAAATATATCAACAATCACGCGGGTAAGAATCTAAGAAAAATCATAAAAATAATCTTCAATATTCATGAAATATAAACAAATATAAATAATTCAATATGAAAATATATCTATTCATCATAAAACTTATGCATAAAAAAAATGATGATAATTTCTTGCATAATAAATAAAATCATGCATCAGCCACATGCAACACATACATAATAACAAAGGCGTACATCACCCAATGGTGCACTCTCCCAACAGCGGATGGAGAGACATATTCCACGGGATGAATTCCTCCCAACAGCGGATGGAGATAATCCATATTGCACTCCCAACAACGGATGGAGTGGTATCCCTCACCCGCCCAAATGGGGATACGTTCCTCCCAACAGCGGAGGGAGGAACCGTCTAACCATCACGTTTGACGGCCCGCTAATCGCCGAAGGGAATCGCCATACCTGCCCTCGATAGGGTTACATAAACATCCATGATCATTCATTTACACTCATTCAATCACTCACGCATACATCAAAAAAATCAATATGATTAAACATTATGAGAGACCATACTTGATGTAAATCTACTAGACTATGTTCATTGGTGGCTCCGCACTATGATGGGCCCGTAGCTCCTTTCACAGGTTGCACTCCCAATGCGAACTACTAGTTTAGTCACATCTATTATATGATACTTATCATAACAATATCATAAACATAGAAAACCAATAATCATTTTCAAACGACACCTTCAAATAAAACCTTTAAATTCATCAAATCATAAAAGCATTAAACATCAATATCTCAATAGTCCTCAATCAATCAAAACCCTAATTGGAATAGCTCAATTGACTTAAACCAAACTCAATTCGATTATAATTTAACGGAATCAATATCAAATCCTTATGGAACCGGTCTGGAATCATCTTAAACCGGTCTAATTTAGATTTGATTGATCTCGATTAGGTCAAATAGGTTTGAACTAGTCATGTTAGTTTGGAATCACCCTAAATCGTCTTTAATTGATCAAACCTATTTGATTTCGTCAATTAATGAGCTCAAACCAATAGAGAAGGAGATTGGACTATGTCGTATAGTGCTAACCTAAACTGAACCAACCCACCTGAGTCTTGGGCAGGTCATATATATTGCATATACCTGTTCCAAATGCTAGGTTGAGTTAAGGTATGACGGGCAATATAAAAGGAGCGACGATATGTCTAATGCCAATCGCGTAACTGGGCAGGCTTAACTTCATGGACTAGGCTAAGCCTCACTTATAAGTTGGCTCACGAGTTGATCCTAAACACATGAGTTGGGGTCATATCTAACCACCTAGACTGAGTTGTACCTAACCGCATAAGCTGGCCCATGCTTAGCCACATGGTTGGATCGTACCTTACCATATGAGTTGGGTTATACATGGCCACATGGATTGGATTGTACCTAGCCACATGAGTTGACACATGCCTAACCACATGGTTGGGTCGTACCTTACCGCATGGGCTAGGTCATACATGGTTATATGGATTAGATCGTACCTAGCCACATGGGTTGGGTCATGCTTGACTACATGGGCTAGGTTGTACTTAGTCACATAAGCTAGGTTGTACATGACCACATGGTCTGAGTCGATTCGATCTGATCGATTAACTTGACTCAAGTCATATTCCAATTAGACTCATCTTATCAAATTAGATTTCAATATTTAAAATTATTAAAGAATTACTCAAATACATAAATTAAAACTTTAAATTAATGATCTAAAATTTAAAACTAATTACATTACAGAAATTCACACATAATTCTTGAAACATAAATATAACTAATTAAATAAATTAGAACTATTATACTAAATCAGAATTTTAATAATTAAATCAATATTAAAATTCATTTAAGCTTAAAAGATCAATACAAATTAAATAATCAGTCTAACATCACAAATTAATTATTATTATTTATAAATCATGAAATTTCGAAATTAAAACATCATCATTCATTATAAAATTGTAACAATCTCAACGCTAAGATTTCAAAACACAAATCAAAGCTAATTAAAAAGAAAGGATCCTACCTCTCTTCGATTATCCTTTCCTTAATATCATCTCCCCAGAAAGTCATCTCCTCAATCCTCCTATTGTTAGGCTTAGTAGAGAATGAGGAATGAATAGTCCCTTTATATAGAAGAAGATGAAATCTCCCCAAAAGGTAAGTAATAATTTAATTTTTATTTTTAATTTATTTTACATTTGCTTTCACACACAAAAAAAAGTAATATAATAATTTTTTTATAGTTCACACACAAAAATGGAATGTAAACTATTTACTTTCTAAATGTCAAATCACTCATTAGGAAATAGATCAATTAATAATTTAATTGATTAGTAGAATTCCTAACTTATCCATGTGATTAAGAAAATCAAATTTAATTATTTCCTTAACTATAATACACAAATATAGAAGTTAATAATAAAGTAATATATCATTTATAGTAATTAATTTATGTTAAGGGAGAAATTATCAGTTATTACATTTCTCCCCCACTTAATATAAATCTGGTTCTCAAATTTGATTAAGAATAACATTAATCAAGTTAGTTAACTTTTGAAATACTAAGTCTGAAACTAAATTAGCTTGAAAAATATTTTAATTAAATGTATCACTCGAAAACTTTTCAGTCAAAAATATATATTTATATATTTTTAACATAAAATATATGACAGATTAATGAAACTTATCGAATAAATTTGGTTTTAGATTATCCAAGTATATCAAATTCTATATCTAATAAATCAATAAAATTTTTAATTTTTAAAAATTAATTAATTGTTGACATAAAATATAAGTTGAGGTACAACTCAACAAAAGCAATTGAAATGATAGAAAATTTATCCAACTATTCAACATATATTCTTTTATAATTTCGAATGATTTATATTTTATATGTGACAAAGAAATAACATTATATCTAATTCTCATTAGACTCGTCATTGCATTAAATAAATAATATATGATAATTAATTTACATTAAATCAAAACTATATTTAAATTAATCACTCATACAATTAAGTTTAAATAACAATGCACGATCAAATGTATTCTAACTTCAAAGTCACATATTTTATTAATGTCAACAATAACTTCTACAAACCATCCTAGTATATGTCAAATTTAATCTCAATTTTAAGAATAATATATGATAACAAAAATTATAATGGTAAATACTTTATATTTATAAAGTTCCTATAAAATTTTTGCACATAAAATTATCAAAACTTTTACATTAAGAGAGAATAACTAAAAATTACTATAATCTTAATGAATAACTAAGTCATATATATCTCAAAAATAAAATAAATATTTTATAATTAAATTAACATCCCTAATCTACTTTTCAAAAAGGGGACAAGAGGATCATGAAAAAATCATATTCAAAATATAAAATTTATGGGAGTTTATAAGATAAACTAATATGACATTTATTTTAATTTAGAGAAAAATTAAAATTTTGATCTTCTATAATCCTATTTCAAGTCATTTAACGAAATTCAAGTAACATATGTAATCAACTATTTTTATAAAGAAAATTATATTTGACTAAAAATGATCATAATATCTTAAATATGTATTTAATCTAATTCTCAAAATCTAAATCTTAAACACTAATTGGGTCATATAATATTCTAGTCCTAGGATCCTATATTCCAACAGGTCCTCAAAATCATTGCTCTAATACCATTAAATTTATCACATCCTGAATTTATAAAAAGAATAATAAATCAATAATTTATTATCCATAATTTACATAATAAATTCCTTCATTTTCTTTTCATTCGTCTTTAAATTTAAATCATTGTCTTTATAGTAGTAAATATTCTATTAGTTAGAAAAATGACATCTTCTTCATAGGATCACAAGTCTCTTCCACCCAAGCTTCAGATCTATTACACAATAGTAGATTACTTTGAAAATAAATATAAAATACAAATATATCAGCAACCACACATGCTGGTAGGAATCTCAGAAAAATTATAAAAATAATCTTCAATATTTATGAAATATAAACAAATATAAATAATTCAATATAAAAATATATCTATTCATCATAAAACCTATGCATCAGAAAAATGATGATAATTTCTTACATAATAAACAAAATCATGCATCAGCCACATGCAACACATACATAATAACAAAGGCATACATCACCCATTCGTGCACTCTCCCAACAGCGGATGGAGAGACATATTCCACGGAATGGATTACTCCAAACAGCGGATGTAGATAATCCATATCGCACTCCCAACAGCGGATGGAGTGGTATCCCTCACCTGCCCAAGTGGGGACACGTTCCTCCCAACAGCGGATGGAGGAACCGTCTAACCATCATGTCTAACGGCCAGCTAATCGCCGAAGGGAATCGTCATACTTGCCCTTGGCAGGGTTACATAAACATCCATGATCATTCATTTACACTAATTCAATCACTCACGCATACATCAAGAAATCAATATGATTAAACATTATAAGAGACCATACTTGATGTAAATCTACTAGACTATGTTCATTGGTGACTCCGCACTATGATGGTCCCGTAGCTCCTTTCACAGGTTGCACTCCCAATGTGAACTACTAGTCTAGTCACATTTATTATATGATACTTATCATATCAATATCATAAACATAGAAAACCAATAATCATTTTCAAACGACACGTTCAAATAAAACCTTTAAATTCATCAAATCATAAAAGCATTAAACATTAATATCTTAATAGTCCTCAATCAATCAAAACCTTAATTGGAATAGCTCAATTGACTTAAACCAAACTTACGATTATGATCTAACGGAACCAATATCAAATCCTTATAGAACCGGTCTGGAACTAGTCATGTCAATTTGGAATCACCCTAAATCGGCTTTAACTGATCAAACCTATTTGATTTCGTCAATTAATGAGCTCAAACCAATAGAGGAGATTGGATTATGTCGTATAGTGCTAACCCAAATTGAACCAACCCACCTAAGTCTTGGGCGGTTCATATATATTGCATATACCTGTTCCAAATACTAAGTTGAGTTGAGGTATGACGGGCTATATAAAAGGAGCGACGATATGTCTAATGCCGATCGCGTAGTTGGGCAGGCTTAACTCCATGGACTAGGCTAAGCCTCACTTATAAGTTAGGTTGGGCCTTACCATTGAACTAGGTCATTCTTGGCTCACGAGTTGATCCTAGACACATGAGTTGGGGTCGTATCTGACCACCTAGACTGAGTTGTACCTAGCCACATAAGCTAGCCCATGCTTAGCCACATGGTTGGTTCGTACCTTACCATATGAGTTGGGTTATACATGGCCACATGGATTGGATTGTATCTAGCCACATGAGTTGACCCATGCCTAACCACATGGTTGGGTCGTACCTTACCGCATGGGCTAGGTCATACATGGTCATATGGATTAGATTGTACCTAGCCACATGGGTTGGTTCATGCCTGACCACATGGGCGAGGTTGTACTTAGTCACATAAGCTAGGTTGTACATGACCACATGGTCTGAGTCGATTCGATCCGATCGATCAACTTGACTCAAGTCAGACCCAATTAGACTCATCTTATCAAATTAGATTTCAATATTTAAAATTATTAAAGAATTACTCAAATACATTAATTAAAACTTTAAATTAATGATCTAAAATTGAAAACTAATTACATTATAGAAATTCACACATAATTCTTGAAACATAGATATAACTAATTAAATAAATTAGAACTATTATACTAAATAAAAATTTTAATAATTAAATCAATATTAAAATTTACTTAAGCTTAAAAGATCAATACAAATCAAATAATCCGTCTAACATTACAAATCAATTATTATTATTTATAAATTATGGAATTTCAAAATTAAAACATCATCATTCATTATAAAATTATAATAATCTCAACGTTAAGATTTCAAAACATAAATCAAAGCTAATTAAAAAGAAAGGATCCTACCTCTCTTCGATTATCCCTTCCTTAATATCATCTCCCCAGAAAGTCATCTCCTCAATCCTCTTATTGTCAGGCTTAGTAGAGAATGAGGGATGAATAGTCCCATAGGAGAAGATGAGATCTTCCCAAAAGGTAAGTAATTATTTAATTTTTATTTTTAATTTATTTTATTTTTACTTTCGCACAAAAAAAAAAGTAATATAATATTTTTTTTATAATTCACATACAAAAATGGAATGTAAACTATTAACTTTCTAAATATCAAATAACTCATTAGGAAATAAATCAATTAATAATTTAATTGATTAGTAGAATTCTTAACTTATCCATGTGATTAAGGAAACCAAATTTAATTATTTTTTTAACTATAATACATAAATATAGAAGTTAATAATAAAATAATATATCATTTATAGTAATTAATTTATGTTAACGGAGAAATTATCGATGATTACAATAGCTATGCTGAGTCTCCAACATTTCCAATAACGAGATACAGATGAGGGAAGCCCAAATTAACAACAGAACCGTATAATTTTTCCAGAACTTAAAAAACCAATAGGCGGATAATTCATGAGTTCATTAAAGAGGCTAATAGGTCATCCTGCTTCACCAAAGTGATTACATCTGCCAGTGTTGTCAAGATCTCCGACTGCTTCTTTCTTTGCTTAGAACCAATAATTGTTCACCCGGAGATGAATCCAGATTTGCTAATTGTGTTGTCTTACAGCTTGAGTATATATATATATATATAGGCCATTTGGACCATGACCATAAAATTAAAAGAAACTCTATAAGGAATTGTTGAGGGAGGGGAGAACTCGAAAATAAAAAAAGAACTTAGGGATCAACAAATAAAAAATACATCATAAAACTAACATACGATTAACATGGTTCAATAATTTTTTGCTCATGTATAAGAAGAAAATTAAATTCTTCATCATGTTCGATGAATTATAAAATTTAATTATAATATTCTTTAGTTACTGGAGTTAGTTAGTTTCACTTAAGTATAAATCTCTTGGTATATCTCTCACATAAATCTTAAAAAAATTATAATTTTCATTATAATTTTCTTCTCAGCATCTTTAGAAACATTAGAGCATCATCCTTAGATGCCCTAAAAAGAAATCTAAGAGTATCAACGGTATGCCAAAACTTTTTTCCTTCTTTCATGATTTCTATACTCTTATGATGCTTAACTCAAAGAATCTTAAAATACTTATCAATCATAATGGGTAAAGTATTAAGATCATAAAAATTAAGAAAGAAAGCCAATGAATCTAAGAAAAAGGAATAAAAGCTGGCAGAATCATCGACCCCACATTAAGCTGCAAAAAACTGCGTTTGCCGGGAGTCGAACCCGGGTCTATTGCTTGGAAGGCAATTATCCTAACCGTTGGACTACAAACGCTTTCGTGTATTATATGTTCTGATTGACATTACATCAATGTTACAAACATAACGGAAAACAATTATTATGTGACCTTTTGACCATGTTGCTTATTTAATTTACAGAAAATACAAGAAGCTATGAACATATTCTTCTTACCTTGCAGAAAGCTACAATGAAGCTTGGCACAACACTGCTTAAACCGACCTTGTGATATGAATTCAAAACACTCTTTGGGTGTCCCTGAATTCGGAAGCACAATTTGCTTTTTCACGTGCGCTAGAATGAGATGGTATGGGTCGATGGTGTGGCACACACAGGATTGATGGCGCCACGAGGCAGGCACATCCAACTCAACCACATCACATTCCTTCACTCTATAAGAGGAGTGAACCAAATTGAGATCTCGGAGGCCATATCTTCCCTCTGGCGACGTTAACCGAAAGGCTTAGGAATACCAAATTGCTCGTGTCTGCATCTTTCATTTGCCTGCAATGTGTGAACTGAGTTCCTCATCTATGATCAACCAACCCACTCATTGCTCTTCTCCGTCTCTCCCTCGTAGCCATCCTTTCTCCGTAGCTCAAGAAAACATCACCAAGATCGATCAACCCCACCTCCTTCAGCCGCTTCCCTACCTCCTCAAACATGACCACTCCCTCCTCGTCGGAGAAGTAATGCAGGAACTTGTTGTAGTCAAACCTCGGCACCTCCACCCCACCCCACATCATCCTCTCCACATACTTGGTGGCCTGCAGCGTCTTCCCAGCCTTCACCAGCCCGCCGACGAAGATGCTCTCAAAGTTCACCACCGGGTCCCTCCCCTTCCTCCCCCTCTTCCCCAGGTGCCCCTGCAGCAGCATTATGTAGGTGTGCATGATGGGCTCGCATCCCCTCTCCATCATGGCCCTGAACACCTGCGTGGCCTCCCCTGCTCTCCTCAGCCGAAGCAAGCCCTTGATCAACCCATGGTACATGCTTATATCCGGCTCTGCAACGCCCTCCAAGACCTTGTACCCCTCCCTCACCTTCCTCCTGACCAGCAGCCCGTACACCAACGCCCCCAACGTGGGGCTGTCCACCCCCACCCCTCTCTTCAGCATTTCGCCGAACAGCATGAGTGCGTACGTGACCCTCCCTTCCTTGCACATCCAGCTGACCACGGCTCTGTAAGAGGGCAGCCCCAGGTCGCGGTATCTCCTCTCACGCATCGCCTTGAACAGCCGCATCGCGTCCTCGAACCGGTTGTTCTTGAACATGGTCACCACGACCTCCTCGTAGGACTCGGCGCCGGGCTCGATCCCCTCGTCCAGCATCCGGTTCCAGACCTTGGACGCCTCCACCAGATCCCCCGCCCTGCAGAACCCGACGATGAGGCACCGATAGGTGGCCTCGTTGGGGGCGACGAGGGGCTTCAGCTTCCAGACCACGTCCTTCGCGACGTCCGCCAGCCTCTTCTTCCCGCAGAGCGTCTCGACGACCCTGTTAAGGGTGTCGACGCTGCACAGGGACTCGTCGTGCGCGTTCACGTGGTGGAAGATCTCGACGCACTTCTTGATCTCGCGGGCGTCGGCGAGTGCGGCGGCGACGACGCAGAGGGCGCCGGGCGTGAGGAGGCCGGCAGCGGAGGCGTCGAGGAAGCAGCGCCAGAGGAGGTCCACGTTCCGGGCGCGGCCGAAGACGGAGAGCATCTTAGCGGCAGAGACGGGGGTGTGGGCGAAGGAGCAAGGGAGGGAGTGGAGGAGGAAAAGGTGGAACCGGTGGACGGGGCGCCAGGAGGAGGGGAAGCGGTTAGAGACCTGGAGGAAGAGCTCGTGGAGGTGGGGAGGCGATGAAGGGAGGGGGAGCTTGCGCAGGCTGGCGTGGAGGGCGGGGTCGGGGGAGTGCTGCTGCTGGTAGAGGACGGTGGCGAGGCGGCGGAGGAGGGAGGGGTCGACGGGGGTTGGGGGGAAGGCGGCGGCGGCGGAGAGGCCACGGAGACGGAGGAAGGGGAACCGGGCGGTGACGGACCTCTGAGGACGCATCCGGAGTCGAGTCACCGATCACCCACGTGACACATAAAAGAAATTAGTACGCACTCGAATGGTACTCTTAGGAATTAGTAGTACACCTAACACACGCTTATCATGACATCAGTCATAGGTTGCATGCATTCTCAACATATGCAAGCAATAAACATACATCCATTCAATTTAAGCAATACAAAATGCCAGATTAATCATCTCATGATACAATTTAATCGATCGAAAGACTAGAAAAGCATTAGAGTTATAAACATCCAATTAGATAACCACATGTCAAAATCAATCGTAAAAATCAATTAAATGAATTGATAACAGAAGGTTTTAGCTCTGACTTCTCACACAACAACAAATACTGCAGCTGATCAAAACCAAGAAATTGATCTCTACAGAGCCTAATCTTTACACTTAGATTACTCCGGATAGAATCTTCTGTACTGCAAGACCATAAACAACTGATCTGAGATTAGATAAACAACGAGAGCTTCTCACATCAACCAAATCCAGTATGCTTTCCTGCACTTTCTTCTGGTATCTATCGTCTACGAAGTCATAGGAAGATGATTCCGGTCCAGGAAATGAACAGCCACAACAACAGCATTTTGTTCAGATTGGCAACCGACGATGATTCAGAAAATGAAAATCTATGTGACTGCTGCCTGCAATGACAATCGATAGTGGATAACATCAGAAAAACAAATGTGTTCGTAGCATCAGAAGAGCAGAACAAAATTTAGAAATGAATATAGATAGATGTGGATCCTACTTCTGTAAGCTTGATAGTGCACCACAGAAAATAGCATTATCAGGCACAGGAAGCTCGGTCTTGTTGCTATCTTCTGGATTGACCACACTTATATACACTTCCTGACCCCTGAACCATGTGTCGAGGTTTTCGGCACGCAAGTTCCATATTCCCACATTATCAAGATAAACAAGGATTGCTGTCCATGCTCCAGGATATACCTGTACCCAATATTTGATATCCAAGAAGTCATTTAAATCGAGATGATGTGGAACTAAGGTAATATTTTCACTTTAGAAAGAGAAAAACTCATCCCTGAGTTTTAAACTAATCTACCGAATGCTTACCTCAGAAACCCAACATTTTTCCTACACTGAATAATCAGAATAAATAGAGAAAGAATAAGAGGAAGACTACTGAGATTATACACCAGTTACATGGACGTAGCACCAAATGGAGGGCAAGCCACCAGCTCAGAGAAACTTTTCCCAGAAATATTTTGACACAAGCAGGTTATGCAGATATACTATTATTCGAATAACCCTACAATATTGATGACTCTTCCACTAGTAATCCATCTGATTCAGAGATTGTAGTACCAATCAACATGAGTAAAAACATATCATGCTACCGATACATGTGCCAACTCATGCTGGAGGTGCTGACATGCAAGTATGCAAAATTTTGCGTACTTACATGTCACAGTATAGCAAATGCTGATCTGATGAATAAAATCTTAGTAAATGGGGCAGACATCACATGAGATCAATTCAGTCTTAAGCAAAGGATTCAGAATTTCACTTGTTCTCAAGCATTCTATACTACAGTTCTATTTGGGCAAGATCAAGCATCTCAACACAACCTTAGGAAGCTCTCTATTTGGGCACAATACTTTCTCTGAAAACATCTCTTTTAAAAGAAAGCACCACATCCTCACATAGATCTTTTTAGTTTTGACTTGGATAAACGTGAAGACTTTATTATCTTCTTTCTTGTACTCCTAGGCTAGAGCAGTATCCTCTTAAGACAGACATATTGGCAGAAAGAATCTTGCTTTTATTTTGTGCAGCTCAGCTAAAGAGAGATTCAAGAACAAAAACCAGTATAACATACCTGTATTGTGCTACGGGCGACTCCATCCCATTTGTTGTAGGTACCCCTGCTATTTTCTGTCCAGATCCCAAAATCCATCCTAGGATCAAATTAAAAAAAAAGCAAAAGCCATGTTATACGTGAAGTCCAAATTGTCAAAGGATACTGAGAAAAGAAAATGTCCAAAGCAGATCCTACCCCACAACAAAGAATGCATAACCATCCATGTGATAGCTCTGAATCGTAGTATCATTATTCTGGAAAATAATTTCCATAAAGCCTTTGTAAGTGCCATTAATTATGGATGTGTCAACTTTTGCAGGTCTGTTCATCATTCGATTTGGGAAATCAAGCTTATAGACTCCTGGCACATCAAATTGCTGTGCAAGTTTAAGAGGTGTAAAAGGAGCAATATAAGAGATGCCATTCAAGGTATTACGCATCTGCCCATTTATGATCTCTGCCGGTCTGTTAAGTAGTACGTAGACATCAGTCACAGTGATCTCACCATATCGGAAAGATCCCTGTGGGTTAGGACGAGCAGCACCAGCAGAGACATTCCATCTGCAGTTGATCAACAAGATGAAAACTAGGAATCAGTATATGTTTTATACTTGAAATAAGAGGTTAAAAGGAATTCATCAACACAAGCAAGCAAAAACATATTTACAATAAAACAAGACAAATATTTAAAAGACAGCAAGTAAATGCATCTTGTTCAACATCAAAGATACCTGATTGACCTTGCTTGATTCATTGAAAAGTATGTATCACCCTCATCTGGGCCATCAGGAAGTGGACCTGAAGCAGGCCCCTGGGAATTGGAATAATGCAATATAGCCACTCCAGTTAATCTATCCCTGGTAGTTGAGTTGCTAAACCGAGCACTTGCTACTATATAGTAATCATTGATAGCATTTTGATCCATTGTGACCAAGTAGGAATACGATTGACCCACATGGATATCCATGTTCGTGTAGTTCTGTTGCACAGTGTAAGAACCTTCTGTCTCTACTAGAAACAAGTTATGATTTTGTATTCTAAAATTTAAGCTAGATGAGAATCCAACATTGTGCACTCGAATTCGATATGTTTTGCCTGAAATAAGAAAGAAGGTTTGATATAACTTTTTATCATAACTGACAACAAGCTTTTGTCGGTAATATAATAGAGACCATGTGCAGGAAAACAAAAGAAAGTACTATATATCACTTGTCAAGCTAGCTACAGACATATTTATGTAGTCAGTAGAACTTAAGGATATATTCATGGAACAAAATGCATGAGGACCTCGTAGTCTAAAGCTCAGTTGATTCTGTATCCTAAAGAAATGATGTCGACAACCTTCAATGCATAGTCTAACAGGTAGCTAGATACAATTCTAAACCAATTTTGTGTTATTTCAATAATTATAATCTCCATGTAAGCTTAAGTGTAAGGGTTCACGGAATATGGTGCTAAAAAAGCCCAAAGACAAAATGAAGAGCACTTATAAAAAGTTAACATGAGCTGGTAACCTGGATCCACGTTTATCGTCTCATAAATAATGCCATCAGGAACAAGTGATTCATTGTAGCGGTAGGGGCCCAAACCATTGATGAGAACCCCATCAGGAGTTCCTAGATCGCCTCCTTCTTCAATGGTTTTTCTTAGGTCCTGCTATCCTTCGAGTCAGTAAACCAAATAGCACCCAAAGAAAATCAATTGCATTTACTAATGGTCGAATCCTGAATGAGAAATAACCTGACCTTGAAGCCCTTGATATACCAATCACTTATAAAGATAGTTATATCTCCATCTGGCAATCCAAATGGCAAAGGAATTACGTCTCTGTTGTTTATGATAATTCCACCATAGCCACCCGCAGCTTTCTGAAAGTTGACTGATGGAAAATAGAGGAAGCTTCCGATCTGATCTTTGACTTGAAATGCGTAAGTCCAATTCCAACCAGAAGGGATAGGGCAATTTGTCCCTAAAACCCCATCCTGCCAAGAGTTCTTTCTTTGCTGCAAACCATTCCTATCAAATAATTTCATACTAATCAATCACATCACAATCATATTAAGCATTGGAAGAAACTATGGCTAAAGTTTATACCATGACATAAAAGAAACTAAGGACAAAGCTTATTCCATGTCACAAAAGACACTAGAGACAAAGTTTATACCATGTTATAGAAGTAACCAAGGATAGAGCTTATACCACGTCATGAGAAAAGGCTCATCTAAATTGTTCTTGATATTCACAACGACGTTCCAATTTGTTGTTGCACTCAAAATTGGTCCTGGAAATTGCCCATTGATTCCAATGACCTGCAGTCATAGCCAGCCCCTTTTAGTAAGGGCCAATCACCAAGGAAGTCTAAGAGACTTGGTTACAGAATCATTATAAACACATACTGGTAGAGGCACATATACGAAGGACAAAAATGGTGACACTTATTCTTTTGGGATTCTAGTCAAGGTTGCCGGATGAGTTTTGACATGAATAAACGAAAAGCATCATATGATCCAAGCTAAGCCTAGAAAAACTTTGTCTGGGTTTATGCCCAGATACCATCTTGTATGAGTAGCATTGAGCATGGATATTCCAATTATCCCACTACTAGAAATCTACAACTCCACTGGACAGTGGGCAAGCAAGCATAATTTTGATATGGAAAGTCACATTGATCGGTTGCGATGCAGTCAAGCATGGTTGGTAGTAGAAATATTTACAAAGTTGTAGATGTTACATGTATATATGTATGTATATATACATATGTTCTGCAACCAATCTTCAGCAGTACCGGATTGGACAAACACTGACACTAAATTTCCCTGATCCTAAGATTAAAGCCACATTGAAGTCCTATACATGATCTGCATGTTCCTCCCCCATACTCCAAGCTGGTCATATCATCTCTGAGCTCGTAATCACCTCCTCCGGTTCCCCTCTTCACATTTTCCCATACCCTCGCTCGACACCAAAACTTCACTAATAATTTCTACTCCAATTTCGATCTACATCTGAAGCTATCATCCATTCCTCGATCTTGCATAATTTCGATCTACTCCACATAAACATCAGAAGAACCAACGATTCGACCCGACGCAACAAAACCCCTAGCAACCAAGATTGGTATATGGGTTCTCACTCGAGCTAGCGTCCTAATCTTCTTCCTTTTCCCTAAATTTGTGGCCTTAAAATGGTTTCTCTTTCGGGCTGCTGTATCTCTAAAAAACTAAGAGGGAGAAGAAGGGGGGATGCAGGGACCTGTTGTTTCACGCCGAGAGGGGAGGCGGAGATGTAGGAGACTTCCCACTGGTAGTACACGTAGGGATCTCCTCCTGAGCCCACGCCGAGGAGCGAAAGGGCGAGGACGAAGCGGAGACAGGAAACCCACCATGACGACGACGACGATGAGAGCGAGGAGGGCAGCATGGGTCGGTTGGTTGTTCGGATCTACGGATGGATGGATGGATCCCGGACGCGCTCTGGGTTTGGCTTCTAATGGCGGTGGCTGCGGCTGTGGCTTGGGAGAGAGTGCGCGATCGGACGTGGCAGAGCTCGTCGGCTGAGTACAGGAATTTTTTACTAAAGTGGGGAAAGAAGGCGGCTTTGGACACTGCTGTTATTATTGCTCATTATAGCTTTGGCCTTTGGAATCAGTTCCACAGACCGGAGAAGGATCGAGTGTGATTTGGTTGCTAATGGAATTATTCTTCTCTATCCTTTTAACAGACCCTTTTCTATATATATATAAGGGGACATTATTCACATGGCGTGTCCTTCAAACAGAATCTTATCGTCCTCTCGCCATGTTGGGTTTTGTGAGATCAAATTTTTATTTTTTTTTCGTTTTTATTTTATATTTATCTTTTAGGGATTTATGCTGCAAGAAAATTGTTTAATCACTGATTTCATGTAACGACAAGCAGTCAAAAGTGTGAGATTACGTTTCCACCGCAACGGTAAATAAATAAATAAATGATTAAATAATTATATCCGATAGGAGGACGATGATAAGTAAAAAAACTATTTATTGATATCTCGACGATACATTATCTCTGAGATAATATGTGATTGTTACTCGATCGATACATTATCCTAATTCGATTGATATCTTAATCAAGCGTGTCATAAGATACGAGACAGACAATACGACACCGATACAAATTGATTCAGCATAACTATTATTATGAGATCTACAGACAGATTTGATACATGATCTCATGATCTTATTTATCGTCGGATGGAACACATAACAATAATAATCTTTTTCAATATTATTAAAGGCCCAAGATATATATACCATTATATTTGTCACACAAATGCAAATGATAGAATATAGAGCCGACACTTAGTCAAAGCCTCCTCCGATCCTCGTACAATTTTAAGTTTTGAATCTACTAGGCATAGTTTTGTAGGACTCAGCTTAGACATTTATCTAGTTTATCCACCACCAAAATTTTCTACAACAAATATGAAAAGGTTCCTCAATTGGATCTAAATTCTTTACATTACAAAATCAAAAATCTAATTAACAATATATAATTATAAAAAATAAACACCACAGAAAAGTTGCAAGATGTAGCACGTTGAGATGCGTGAGGAGATTCATCGAGAATCAATCAATATAGTTGATTATTAATTCATTAAAGTGCTGCATTTAACAACTAATGCCGCTTCTTTCATCCGTAATTATAAAGACCGGACGGTAATCCCAATCCCATCAACCCTATCGTAGGCTTAATTTTTTTTCTAATAGAATAATAGATAGTTGTATATGAGGTTAAAATTTTGAAATATATAGATGCCATTGTAAGAATAAATTTAGTGTATACATCTTTGATAATAAATAAAGAATTATTTGAATTGAATCGATCTAATCTGAATTTTGCTCGTCATGATTAGTACATGTAAGTTAAATCATTGAGTCAAACAAATATCGTTGTGCTGCGTGTTGCTCCACATGAGAATGAGGAATTCTTGAGAGATCAAGACACGTCGAAACAGACAAAAGAGCAAAGAAATTTCTTCTATAAATGAATATGAATGGGGCAAACTCAACTTTGCTGTTGCCGTTTCAACAAATCAAAAAACACACAGAAGGGTTAGCAACAACAACAAAATGGACCCTCCCAGCTGCAATCTTTTGCCAGAAGAGTAAAGATTATGAGAATCCACGATGAAAACTGCTCCCGTCTTGCCATCCCGGACCTTGATGCTCGAGGAGCCTGAAATTAGGGCAAATTCATCAGTGAGAACATGTCGATAGTAATCATAATATATGGATTGTACAACCGAGGACAAAGCCGACATGCCTAAGAGGACACATCGAATTTGAATCCCCCTTATAGCTTAAAATGTTCGATAACTTTGCCTATAAGATCATATGTGGTGGTCACCACGCACATCAAGTATTGGAGAAGATATAGATCAACTCTGGATCCCAACACATACGGTTCTTGGAAAATGCTTTCACAAGATATAATTTTGGCAAGTAATAAAATCGAATGCAACTTACAATTGTAGTCTGTCCATCCAATGACTTGGTTCTCCAGATCATAAAGAACTAACTTATTTGATAGGACTAGATCTGGAAAGCAATGTTTAGTAGTTAGTTATGATGTGAGATTCAAATAGAAGATGCGAACACGACTTGTAAGATATGAACTACAAGACCTGCAATCCAACATGACTACTACCGAGCTGAGTCACAAGATGGAAAAATGATTAAAGAAAAATACAATTGCCTGATGTCTTTTTCTCTGTCTTAGTCAACCTTATAATTCTTTTCAGACAAATATCTTACAATCCTCCTCTTTTGTAAGATGTAAAGCATCCAAAAGTCTCTCTTTCTGTTGCAACTTGAACAACCTTGGAAATGTTGCTCCCATTTTGGATAACAAGCAATAATGAATAATAAAAGAAAAACATCAATCTTGAAGTTTCTGTTCGTTTGAGTGATGTTGAAGTCAAATTTATAAGAACACTTGAAAAAGTATACAAGTTTGCATATTAAAATTGTAGATTCACCATACTGTGTACAGGCACAACAAATATAATTTCCTAGTCACAATAGAAAGCCTTATGGGGAAGAGCTTTCCAAGGACTTCTCACCAAAGGAACCAAAATGTTGTACATGAAACACAGGACTAAGCTATCAGCTCCAACAGAACTAACCCTTCCTTATGTGCACACTTAAGTGTCTCTCCCGCTTCCTAGGAGCCATTTATTCAGTTCTTCGCCCTCTCCTGACCATGATCCCTCAATATTGTTGTTTGAAATATCCAGACCATCTTAATCAATTATCATTTGTCATCTACATCATTGCAGGCTAGATCTAAGTTAGCAGAAAAGATTACTCCTAAAGGAAGTCAGTTTGAATAAAACTAAAATGATCTCCTATCTGAAATTATATTACCTCAGGATACTGAAATAGAGTAAGTAACATACCATAAAGGCAAAGTGTCACTAACCATCAGGTACCTCAAAATTGTCCAACATTGGGAGATCCCCTAATGTAGAGTTAAGACATTACATCTCTATCAATGTATATAATCAGGAATATTATCTCTGTATTTTTTGCACATGAATAAAGAGTTATATTTGCTTTATTAAGCTAAATGGCATCAAACTTGGATTTGCAAATATGATGATGTCAGAAGTGACCATATTGTTAAATCAAAATGTAATATGAAAAAGCTCAAATTATAGCAAAAGAGCATGTCTGTAATGAAGTTGTTACCTCCCAGAAGAAACATATCTCTTCCATCTTTAGATTGCAGCCCACCGTTTTGCCAGCCAACGCAATAGATATTATCCTATTTGTTAAAATATCAAGAATAAAACAACAAATTAAAGTATTATGACATTATCTAAAACACAAATGCAGTACAACAGGACAGCAAGTGACAAAAATGACAAAGCAATACATTACCTCAAAAACCAGTACAAAAAATACATAGAATGCAAAAAAAAATGTCAGTTAAAAAAAAATTCAAAACTTGTGATTATCCTGTCTTAAAAATACATAACATAGTTGCCAATGCAGTAAACAGTTTTCGACATCATTAGTAAGTAAGAACTGAAAAATGAGTCCAGAAATAGGATCAGAGTGGGAAATGGTGAACATTTTAAATTTAGGCAATAGGTTCTGTAAAATGAAACAGAAAAACCTTAAATTTAGCATTGAGAATCAATTATAATTTAACTCAAAAGCAGGAGAAAGAAATTGGAGCAAATGCTTCCAACTCTAGCTTCCAAGTAGGATCATCTCACACAAAATGTCAATGCACTCTTCTATTCTTCTCTTTCTTTGTGGATAACTGTACTTCTTGACCAATGAATACTTACTAATCTCATTCGCAAATGAAAGAATATTCTGGTCGTCTTTCTTTTTCCCCAAGGACCATGCTCTTCCTACACTCTGCTGAGGCTTGGAGAGAGAGCACATGCTATAAGTATCATTAGAAAGCAGCTACCAAGAACGGGATCTCGACAGTCACTCATGTTGGAGCATTACGCTGCAAAAGTTTTACTGACAATGAAGCTAAGGATACTAGCTGTTCCTTGTTACCTCTATTGTTTATTATACTCACATATTCAGTAGTTATCTAAATGATTTTGAAGATTCATTAGAGAACATATATGACATCTTTTGTTGTAACCACATGATAATCGTATTCCTTCCAAGATTTGTTGAATCAACGTTTCTGTGTTGCATTGTAGAACCTAAAACTTATAGCTCTGTATCATATTCCAGTGCAGCTCCATATATGTGCTCTTTAGAGTTGTTAATTTTTTCATATTTAGAGTTTCACCCATCAAGAAAAATCTTGATTTATAGCATATGAAAATATCAATTTGTATTATAATCTTGATTTATAGCACATGGAAATATCAACTTGTAAAATTTGAGTTTTCTATTCTTCTTTAACCTTTTCAAGTCCATAAGGAAGATGGTTGCTCCTGCACTCAATGAGTTTGAATTGTAACCCTCTCTTATGCCCAAGCATGCCTGGCCTTGTGGTACTAGTTTAGATCATTAACATCCAAATTAAAAGCTGAGTTAACTATAAATTTTTCACAAAACAAAGATCCTTTTTATTTGGATGGTGATTACCCTTTCTTTAAGGCCAGAACTCTTTGGACATCAACAATAGAATTTGTGCATATTATTTTCACCCAAAATGTTATAAAAGATTTAAGCCCCAGGCACTGTATTCATGAAATCTAGCTTTCAATTGCTCACATTTGATATCAAAGTCATAGCCATGTTACTTGTATCCAAATTCCAAGAAAAAAAATGAAGTTATTATCAACTCACTAGTCCACTTAACATATGTAAAAAAGGTTGGTAGCATCAATAATTAACTGAATCCCAATGTAAATGAACTCTTCAGGAGGAATCAATGAAAATGATATCAATTCAGATAATTTCCAAATAGACATGTTGAGAGAAACAAAGACTATTCGTTTATTTATGGATCAAATTCAACTCAGTGGGATCCATCGTTCACACTTCTTCCATCAACAACACTTTATGGAACTCTAAACCCAGACCGAGTATCCTACTTTCACATACAAGGCAGGGTATTGTTCCAAATCATCTGAAACATCCTGAGATGCCTTATTTGCTATTGCTAAAGGTATGTTTATACCATGCCAAATAAATGGCATATTCCATCTACTTGGTAATGGCTGAAAATATTGCTAAGTTGCATGGGGAGCAAAGTCAAATTACATACATGAAACTTTGGCTTCAAAGCCCCTGATCCACCACAAGTTCAACATGGGTGATATATTCCATGTACATAACACCCAATGAACCATATGATTATACACTGTAAGTGAGATGATATATATAGGTCATAACTCATCCCCCAAAGTGGTACTTGAGTATTTGTCTTCGAGGGAAATTGGGTCATGAAATAATAGAATCAGTTAACCAAGAAACCGTATGAGCCAAATAGACCAGAGTAACAAGATATGAATTTGTCATAACAGTAAGACTGTGTACATTGACCCTCCCCGGACCTAACCTCGCGTTGGCGAGAGCTCATGCACTGGGTACATACTTTGTTGAGAACAATTTAAATATCCATGTCAAAAATCAAATGCAGGATATCCAACTAAAGATTTTTCGGATGGCATTTGCTCCAAGTATCACAATATCTAACGTTAAAAAAAAATAATGTGCAACTGCAATTTCAAGAATGATAAAGAAGAAACAACAACATCATATATAACAGAACCCTAGCAAACAAACAAAATTTGCAAATAGGACAAAGGACAATTGAAGAATTTTGCAAGTAAATTTTGATGGCCATCACCCTGCTAAACATAAAAATAGACAATCTATCTTACCCTATTCTCGAAAAGATAATCATGAGGATATACATTCAGCAAAAGTGAGTTCTCAAAATGAAAAACAACTTCTGGGAATCCATCATCTATACTGCAATCAAGATAGAAAAAATTGTAAGCAAGCTGAATAAATCCACAATTCTTATCTGTAATTAGTTATCCTGGTAACAAAGATGGTTGAGATGTACAACGAACATTCATTTGGTAATATCTGAAATATCTAATTGTCATTCTATTAAAAATCCATTCTACAACAAAATTTCAGCAATTTAGTTCGTTCAAAAGTATCCTACAAAAGAAATGAACTGACTTATATGAAGGAAGATATGCCAAGAAAAGGAAAGATAAATTCAACTTCCTATACTAGATTGGAAATGAATCTATTTAAGGAAAGAATTTGTTGGCTGGGTCGAAAATGAACTAAAAGAACAACATAACAACTGAGATGATTACAACCTTACTGGCCTGTATTACTGTGCAGAGAAGGTAAACACGAGTCTTTTGCCAGCACACAATTAATAATGGTCTATACAAGGGAAAGTCTAGAAGCTCGAACGCTTCCAGTGTTGACATGTGTCAATATCACCTCCAATATGGAACTAAAGACACCATGTTAATTCTTTTTTTCTCCCATCGTTCATTTGTTTGCAATTTCTCCCTAATTATTGTTGTGTTCATCCTTGTGTTAGCATCATATCAACATGTCTCATGACAAAAAAAGATCTTTCTAAATCCAACTAACAAAAACTGAAGGTTTATAGCTATAATAAAATAAACATCAATGAACCACGTAAGGAGAAATATCTTACTAACTTGCTAATGATGGTCTAGCAATTAATTTATCAATCTTTTATGGCTATTCCCTGACTCTAAATATGTGCAGTAGGAATTAATTATAGAAAAAAGGAACTGACTGACAATATTACATGCTGGAAGGGTACTCATCTAATATAATAAAGAAACACCAAATTATATGTAATGCAAAGACAATAAAGAAATAATCTCATCCAGCCAACTTTTGATAAATTTATCGATTACTTGGAAGTTGGAACTATCTTTGTAATCAAGGACAGAGTCAAAATGTAATTCCAACAGGCATTACTAATAGAATATAGGTCAAGCAATGCAGATATAAGCAACATGTTTAATCTAACAACTTCCAGGCCTAATCTATCTAACTTGATTCTTTTAGCATTGCCTCAAACCTATGTTGTGAAAGCAACCAAAACAAATGGAAAGATGGGCTAACCAATACCCAGAGAAATTTCTGACATGTATACATGATTGCAATCAAACAGGATACAAGATAAGTTATCTGGAAAATCTCTCAGCAAGATAACACAGTAAAAAATAGATGTTCACAAAATCTAACAGTACCTAAGCATCACATGCAGTCACAAAATGTGATGCCCGTAATTTGTGATGTAATTGCCTAAAATCTAAAACAAGGAAAAGGTTTTCCAAACTAAACTGCCCGAAGTTGTGGAATATAAATCACCTTAAATTGGAATTGTTAGGAAATAAAAAACATACCTTCCAGAATGTTCGAAACAAAGAAACCCCTGATTGTTGTAGAATTTCAAATCTGGATATTTGGAAAATATCTACAAAGAAAAGAGAAATGACTTGTCCATGAAAAATATTCAGCTGAACCAAAATCAACAGACGAAGTCACTTACCGCATTCATTAGTGCCTTATAGGCTACCTCTGGTAGATAAGACAATGTTGTTCCACTATCGATTATTGTCCCTTTTTTGTCTCCAGTGTCAAATAAATCAGTAGGAAGTTCTAGAATAGCCCCACCAACTTCAATTGCCTTCATATTGACATTGTAATGTGGCCTGAAGCGAGGATAGACATACTAAATTCATTAGAGACAAGAAAACCAATTGATGAAGGAAAAACCTAATGGATTGGAGTTGTTAATATAAATCTATGGAAAAGAAAATATGAATACGCCAGGAATTAAAAACTTCATAGTTCATACTGCAGTAGATAATTTTTATCTGGGTAAGACAAAAAGACATCACATTTAACATCTATGTTTTTATCTAATATCCATAGTAAACTTCAAATGAAATGATTATTTTTGTGGTCTTGGAAAGAAATAACTGCAGTACAGAAACAAGCAAAATGAGACAGGGCAGTGTATTAGTAGATCACGATGGTCCTCAAATTGGCCTTAAAGATACCCAGAAGGCCAGGATCATTTAAGGTTTCACATAGTCATTCGGAAGATATCTATAGGTATTTGCTCTAGAGAAAAAAGATCTTAAAAGCAACCACCAATCCAGTATGTCTCTATTGAAACATCCAATTGGTTAGTGCGCTATTACACAAGTGATAGATTTTATGTTCGAGTCCACGTGTGAGAGTTTTGTGTGCTATTTTAGGGTGATAAAAAAAATATTTTTTTAATCAACAGAAGATACATGTGCCATCTGATACTCCTGACGATGATTAATTTAAACTTTCTCATTTCCAAATAGAACATAGCTGAAATTTAAACTTATTTTGCCTACTAAATTTGCCCTATTCTACACATTTAGTAATGGAATTCACTTGCTCCGTATTGGATCTTGTAAACAAGGTACAACATAGTAGAAATTCCGTAAGATAGTTGGCATCAAATAATTGAAGTATATGTGAGAAAATATAATAACAATTGAAATCAAATGGGATAACAGTTTGCTAATGGTTAAATGAACCACAAAGATTCTACAATAAGTGTGCTGAAAAAGAATCAGAACCAACTTGTTCCATATCAGAACAATATCAACACTACATGAAGTAATCTTTAAATGAACTCAAACTGTTTTCAGTTTCATATATGCCACACAAGAATTTTAGTATGCCTTATCTGACCTACCATTTAGGTCACAAGACATAGTGTCACGTGTCCATAATGGACACAAAAATACCCTTTGACAAAAGATTTGCTACTCATTGATGTATACACAGGTATGGTCCTGTCAATTTTTGTGACTAACCATATATGAGATTGCTTAAAGCCTTAAACCACATGATGCTTTACTAGACTGGGCAAACAAAATATTTCAAGAAACTGGCATCTTCATCATTCTTATACACAGATTATCATTTCATAGAACAGGGTTGTGACAATATCTTCCAAGCATGGTATGATTACATGTTTTGTTACCAATATGCCCTTGTACCTGTGCTGAAAATTAGTCTAGCCATATATCCACATGTCCAACACGATTCGACATGGTATGTGCAGATACCATTCCTGTATGATCACATCAACCTGTATTGTTATGCCCTAATTGACATAACCCTTGCTCCAAGATATTATATATCAGCCAATGCATGTGTAGAAATATCCAATTTAAATTTCCTCTTAGATTCAGAAAGGTGGACTTTTGCATACTAAAACAAACTTAAAATTAAAGAAATATGTATGAGCCTATGAACCTACTAGGTCACAGATCGTACATTGTTGATGGTACCCAATAATTAGCTTCTTTTCAGTTTTGTCACCAGTTCGGGATTGAAAACATCAATTTAAATAACCTGAAACTAGAAACTGAAGTTCTAATCCTTCAGTTTAGCTAGGTTATAATTAAGGAAGGGCCTTGCACTATCGTAAGAGGATATGATGCTTATTCTTTTCCTGTCAGACACCATAGCTGCATTGGCATGGTCGTGTAACCAATCCATTCACAATACAGCATGGGCCATTTTGGCCAAAAGGGAATCCTTGCTATAGTACTCTTCAGGTCTTACATACATATGCTCATCACTATTATAAACTATGATCCTAAGTAGAACTGAACTAATACAAGGTTGGTCAAGATTCTTGAAACTGCAAATTTACATTACATGTCTGCAACAAAAATTACTATAAGAAAACATGTTTCTGCTTCACTGCAATTAGCATCTTTTCTTCACAAGGATAGTATTCAGATACTAAATGCAAGTAACAGATGAAGAGAAAGAGTACTTTTTGATCCTTAAAAGGATATTTACATATATAGAAAAGGTGGATTGTCAAATAAACACTATCCTTCCCAGTTCACATTATCTGCAGTAACCTTGCACCTTTTCTTGAAATATAATATTTTACCATACACCTAAAGCACCATTCACATGAAATGAAGATTTTTCTATATTCAGTCTAATTTTAATTCCCGTGTTTCATTCTAATAACACTGAAATTTGCACAAATTCATTAAACATAACTTATTAAAAAAATGAATACATCAACAACGTACAGTAACCTGATCAACTAAAGTATGAGTAAGAGCAGAAACAATAATCACTAAGTATCTGTAGCAAACTTACTGATCAGGCACCAAAGGTGTTGTCTTCACTTTCGGTTGCACTACATGTCCAATAACAAAAAGTCCTCCTCCATTTATAGTGTCTAAACAATGAGCAAATATCTTCCTTGCAGTTCCAGAAGCAGCCAGCTGCGAGATCATGGATGAATTTGACTGCCCAAACCCAAGAATTCCATCAAGTGCTTCATTCGATGAACCCAAATCTCCGGATTGTTGAGCGCCACACCTGTATCATTATCAAACTAGCTAAAAAAGAAAAATTACAAAGCACATGTTGACAACCAAATCAAGAATGAAGTTAACCTAAGAATTCTAACCATTCAGAAAATGAACAAGAGCATCTTCAGATACACAGATTAATCTAGAAACAACTAAATGAATTTATAGAAATGAATAACCTAACTGGTACAGTTATACTAGGCAATACTGGAATCAACCATCCCTCACCTTTTCTTTGTTTTTCTCTTCTTTCTTTCTTCCCCTTTTGAAGTCTATCATCCAATACTGGAATAAACCATTCCTTCCCTTTTCCTTATTCTTCTCTTCCTTCCTTCTTCACTTCCTAATTTTTTTTGCTTCTCCTCACGATTGCATCACCACATTGCCACTTCCTCCCTGCTGTCGTCTGTGTTGCCACCCCTCATCATTGTCCTCTTTCTCCACCACTCGTCTATGCCACCATCTCCCCTCTACCACATGATCCCACTCATCCTCTACCTCCTACTACTGTTACTATTTTGTCATAGTCTCTCTCTCTCTCTCTCTTACTGTCGCTCTCCTCTTGAAATGCTCCGACTGGTATCAATCAGTACCCACACATACCTACACTTGGTAAACTGTACAGTGTTATTACCATAGAAATCTGACCACTGAATGGTATCTAGACCTGACCAAGAATTTAATCCTTGGTTTAAATCATGAACCATATTATAAAAAAAAAATCAAAAGAAAAGAAAACCAAGAAAAATAATGAAATAATGAGACCTTATAGAAATTCAGGTTAAAAAGCACAACAAACCAACAATCATCAAATATCATCAACAATACAATTTGTGCAATAGTAATATTTCATGACAGCCCATATCTGAAACAATATGTGGGTTGCTATGTTATTATGTAATGGACAATCACCTAGGCACTCGGACTAGAATCTTAAGAAGAATCGTAATCACCTAGTTACGCCTTCCCAGCCCACAAATATGCACATAGTAATTACACATACCGAATCTTCAGGTTTAGCTCAGGTATTAAAACTTCCGTGGTCTCACACCAACTTAATCAGATCAGCCAGAGGTCAAGATTTCCTTAAACAGCAACCTGCCTGACATAATTATGGTCGCACTGATAGTTCCTACCAGTTGTTCAATCGGATGCCCACAACCTGATCATCACCATATCTGAACATGAGCTCACCCTCATCATCATATCTCAATGTCATGTGCTCAGCCTGCCATTGCCAACAGTCATGCCCTAGCCCTATCCTCATTCTGCTCGTCAATTCCATCCTGCCTGTCATTAACAACCTTAGCACCCTCATTAATTCCAAATTCCACCTAAACTTTCTCACCTGTCTCGGCCCTTCCCTAGGTGACCTTGACATCATTAAGCAATAACAGCTACTGGAAGTCACCTTTCTGACAGACTGCAGAGAAACAACAAATTGCAGACCACCAAAGTTGTCCAAGAAAACTACAACTGCAGCTTACCATGAGCTGACAAATTAAAAAGACTTGTACAGACCCAATCCAATAGCAAGTTACTAAGCCTCAACCTTAACCCATCCATACATGAGACAAATTAAACAGGTCATGTCATAGACAGAAAGGGGTTATGTTTCATTATTATAAACCTATAAACAATCACCTCTTTTCAGATATTCAAATAAACATATAAGTACGGACACATATGTGTGCGACAAATATGTTAGATAACTTGGGTTAGATAATAACAACTTATCAACAAAGCGTTTGAATTTTGAATATGCAACAAAATGTTGCATGTCATCGCAGTTATGAGACACGATAATGGGGATCTTAAACCAATTTACTCAAGGCCGATAGAAACTAATATTTTATCCTAAACCAAGAAACCAATGAGATCCATGAGAACTGAACTAATCTGGTCAGATTTGTTCTATATGCTAGCTAGGTATCTATGTTTCAGTCTAGGATTTCAACACTAGCATTTTGGCACCTTCACCTTGCATCTTCACTGGCTCTAGAAAGGAGGGGGGCTAGGGAAGAAGCATTTAATGTTTCTTGTAGGATCTTGTCATCTCTTCTTTTTCTTTAGTGGATGCCTGTTCATGCTAACATACAATTTACTGTGCCATGCTGGCAGCACATACCATACTTCTTACCTACTGGAAAAACAAGGTTGCCAATAGTAACAAAATACAGATTGTGTACCATAGTTGTACCATCTATTTTTATTTTATTTTATAGCTTTTAATCATTCTAGCATATGAATATTGGTATCAAATAGCCATGCTACATTGAAATGATAATAATAATCAAACAAAATGATGGGATAGGATTGTCGTCCATGAAAATGCCATTCATCAAACACTACTTTAGCACTATAAGCATACAATATCAAGTTGGCAGCTAAAAGTTGAAACTCACCCAAATGTAACACTTGCATTGACCGGTCTTGTCTGGTGATCACTGGACACTTGATTATATTGTACAGAGTCCGTCACAAAGAAACCAGCTGTAGAACTCCCATCCCCGTACACCACACGATACTCACATGGCAAATTCGCCGCGCAGCCAGGAATGTCACCATACGTGGAGACGCAAAAGTTCTCCTTACAAGATACCAAGCTCCCGCTCACCGACTCCCTTGGATCATATAATGTCAACTCAACCTGCAACAAGTAACCCAATTCTCAATTTGCCATTAATTTAAAGGTCGGACAGAGGTAGAAACAGCAGATACATAAAAATACAAATGAACTTGATTCATACACCGAGATCGCTCTTCTGAGGGCAACGCTTGCACGAGATGCAATTCACCCAGAGAATGTCGCTTCCCGTGTCAACCTGCACGTAGTACTTCTTGGACGGATTCCCAATACCTATCTCCGCAAAATACAACCTACAAACCCATCCACCGAACCCCAAAAGAACAACAGCAAGATATCAAAATGCAACCGAAACGAGAGCATGTCAGAATCGAGAAGACAGGGACGGAGGCCGAACCCGGTGCTGGTGGGGAGGCCGAGACCGCCAATGGGGAGATCGACCGAGGAGAGGATGCGGCTGTGGCGCCGGCTGTCGTGAGCGAGGAGATCGCCGACGGACGGCTTGCGGCCGAGGAACTTGTGCCGCACCTTGAACACCCCGTTGGCGCCAGCCGAAGGGCTCAACGCCAGCACCACCAGCAGCAACAACGGACAAAGAGACAAGAACCGGCAGGAAGACGACGGTCTCCTCGAAGCCATCCCGGCAGAGACCCCTTATTTATCGTCGTTCGGAGGAATCTACCTGTGCTGGTTGCTCCTACAACAGCATCCGGGTGGAGTGGGAGATTGGGGGATGGGACTCAGGAAGGAAAGAGGGGGAGGGGAAGAGAGAAGACGAGAGAAGAAGAAGAAGAAGAAAACGAAACGAAATGTGCCCACCCACTTCTTTCTTTCAGCGGGAGAAGGGGGTTAATAAGCGGAGAGACGGAGGCGACGACGACGGAGAGGGAAAGGCGGAGAAAAAGAGAGGCCGAGATGCTCGATTCGGTGCTCTCACCACTGTTAATAACTTCGTCGTCGTTCGTCCACCAAATTGGCTTCCTTTTATGGTACTTAATAAGCCTCTTCCATCCAATCTTAATCCCTATTTTTAACACCTTCGAGTCGGTCAAAATCACGACCAAATTGTATTTTTTTTATCGTTGACCCGATCTTCTCTGGTCAAACATGAGTTAAGTGGTCTCTCCCAGTTTACTAAAGAAACCCGCAGCTTTAACTCCTATATTTACATGCTCATTAGGTTGATAACAAATATATGATATATTATGGATAGAATTGTATATTTTATTTTGTGTTGAATGGAAGGGAAAATTTTTGGCACAAGAAGAGAATTCCATATATCAATTTTTCAATCAACACCCAAATTATTTCCTCATATTTTATTATCCCCATCAAAACTATATATATAAATATATATAATAATAATAAAACCTAATTTTCATGTTTAATCCTTCCTTCATAATGAGTTTTTTTTTCCATATTAAGATTTTCTGTTGAGTCTTTCCATATTAAATTTCTTATCCTCCAATAAGACTTGGCTCCAAAATTTTTGAATTACTTTCCAATCCTAATATTATTTGGATTCATAAATTTTTTAGATACTCAAAAAGCATTCAAGTATTAAAAACTAATTTATGAAAAAAATAAAAAATATATTTTTTAATGGAGGGAAGAAGCAAGGAAATATTTTTAGTGCTTCTAAAATTTCACTCTTATAAATCTAATGGGAGCCGGAGAAAAAAAAATAAAAAAATAACATTTAAGTTGAAATTGATTTAAGATAATTTGTATCAATAAACAATTTTATGTGTTTGTATTTTTTAAATTCTTTAAATGGTTCTTCTCTCATATATTATTGATGTATTATCATAATTAAGTTTGTAGTCCATCTTCCACATCCACTTAAATTAATAATTGTGTGTTTGTTCTTCTAAATTAAAAATAAAAATGAAAAATAAAAATAATTATTAAAAATGAACACAATTATGATAAAGTTTTAGATGTTCAACCTCCAAAACCACATACACAAATACGTTGTAGCCATAGTATAACAAATTAAAGAATTGCAGTAGAGCCAATAAAACAAAGGAGTAATTATTAACCCCCTTAAGAGCCATCTCACAGCACAACCATTACAAACAGTAACCTTAATTAATGTTGATGACAACTTACCAATACGTTTGTCGCCATGTGCATGTAGACATTCTACGTAAGATGGGTCCCACTGAGTACCTCCAATCATAGCACACGGTACGCAGGTGGAAATGAACGCAGGGGTGCGAAACGTATTGTTGCTCTATGAGATCCTCGGTTGTTGTCGGATCGGGTGCGGACTCTCACTGCATCCGATAGCATCTGTTTGTTCCATGGCAGCCTCGTTAAACCCTTCTGCTCGGGCGGGTCGGGTTACGGAATCCGCGGGATTTTACCGCCCCGCCCAAGTCTTCCTTCCCGTTTCGTCCTCGAGGTGATCGGTTGGGGTGATGGCTCGATCCAAGCACATCCTCGCACTTCTCACCTTCATCACCTTTGGGATGATTATAGGTCCGTTGTCTTCCTCTCCTTCTTCTCGGCTTATGGGCTTATGCGGATTTTAGGGGTTCTAGTGAGAATCTGTGCTAGACGATTGAGATCCTTTTGTACATTGATAATGTGTTTCTGTCCATAATTCGATTGCATGTCGGTCATTCTAGTCTGCCACTCTTTATTTTCTTAAATAGTCTTTTAGTAGATTTCATGTGTTAGGATTGGTAAGCATATTAGGAATCCTAATTAGGTTCTGACTTCTTGACGGATTAGGATTTAAATTTAAATAGGTTAAATCATTATAAGTACATCTTAATTCTTAAGGTTTATGTGATTGAAATTTTTTTTGTGGACATAGATTGAAAATTGTTAAACCATGTTACATTTTACATTGATTTTCTATTATTTATTTGTTGATCTCTGAATGTTTTTTTGGTTTTGGATTCTCCTCTCCCTCTTGACTTTAAACAATACTATTTTTATATTTTGAGAACAATCTCAGCGTCAAGAAAAGTTTTCTAGTGACTTCTTAACGTAGAAAATTTGGCAAAGATAAGAAAAAGACAATATTTTTTTCTACTTTCCTATCGAGAATTGTTTATGTTTTAGTCTAACTTGTGATTTTACTTACCTCTATTAAAATAAAATCACAAATTTGCTACCCATGAGGTCCTCCATGTTTGGAAAGATAAGAGGCTTCACTATCAGTTTCCTGAAGCATTTCTGGTTCTGATATTGCTTAGGAAGACCTGGGATTCCCTTTTGAAAATGCGTAAACATCTTTGCTGTCGGCCACCCCAGGAATGGTCTGCCATGCTTGTTTTGAGTGCTTATACCATGACATGAACCCTTCACTTGGTGTTGGAAATTCTGATGGAAGCATAAGACACCAAAACTTATTCTAATTATTCACATTTGGATGATTAGAAATGGGAAATTTATGTAGTTCAACTACAATCCTGCAGTATCATTCTTATAAAGCCTTGTCTTTTTGATACCAACACAGGCCATTGAAAAGCGGATAACTGTATTCTCTCAAGTTCCTGCTGGAAATGGAGAGCTCATTCAAGTACCATGGTAGTTAGTTGAAGGGTTTTTTTTTTGGACTGGAAATGTGAGCATAAAAATCCTACTAATAGTTCAACTGCTTTGCCATTGTATAGGTAGAAACTAATGAGACTATAAGGTAGAAACTAATGTGGTATTACAGACCGCATCATGATTATTTTTCTGAGACCGTAAGATTTCATTCTTTTTCACGTACATCTTGATATTTTTTTCTGAGCATCACAGGAGCACGCATGTATTTAAGAGATGATGTTGAGGGGGTAAAACCTGCTTTCCATTGGTTGGCGTAATGTCTGATATTTGATTTTAATTTTCTTATAATTGACTTCTTAATATCAGGTGAAATCATGTTATTTATGGGAAAAATAATTAAATGCATTTTTTTGAGTGGCATGATATCTTGAATAATTTAAAGATGTTATGATCAGGAATATTCTGCTTTTCTGTAAATCCTGCCTAAAATTAAATTTTAACCTAAGCGTGTCAGTATTAATGTCTTTTACTTGAGTTGTTACTCTCTGTTTTGTAATGAGTATGCTTACATTCTTTATAGTAGCTACTGTTTATTGTATGTCATTCAAGTTATGGACTCTGTTTAAGGTTCATTTGGTCAGTTCATATATCTGAAGTAATCTATTTTTGTGGTCTATTTGAATAATTGCATGTCGTTCTTAGTTCACAAACAATTATTTATAAAATCTTTTTGTTTTAGAAGAGCAGAAGCAACTTGGATTTACTGTTTTTTTAATCTTTAAATAGGATATATCTCTCTTGGTCATGTATGCATGTAATTGTAGGACAGTCCACAAGAAGTTCTGGAACTAAAAGGAGTGAATTTATGGATCTTAAGAGCTCCGTTATCCTTTTTCTGCTTGGTAAAGAATCGATATGGTTAATTTAGTTACATTAGAGCCAATCTAGTGAGAACTTCGTTCTCTAGCAATAATTTAGTAATGATAGATCTCGTGTTCATTGTGATCATTAATCACAACTCAATAGCTTTTATATTTTGGAAACATGGATGACCTGTTATGCAGTGACAATCTTTTAGTCAAGGAAAGCTCATATGGGAGACGAATTGCCTTTAAACATAGAAGACCAGTTGGCTAATAAAAAGTTAAACAGTTTTTCTTATTGACTGTGGCTTAAACCAAGGAGCAAATTGTGTAGCACAAGTCGACATGAAAGAGTTTAGAAGAGGATGGCAGCTTGAGTCTCTTAAACGAAAGCTATATCAAAAGCGCAGAGCACCAGTACATTGCATTATGGAACATTAAACCCGGATAATCTAGTGTAACGCAATCTTTATACTACATGACTCTTCATATCCTTTGTTCTTGCTGAATTGAATGGTTGGGTACATGTCCCAGTGCATATCTTGTGCATTCAGACTGATCTTTAGAAGTCTGCAGTTGTATTTGCTGTAATTTCTTAGTGTCTAAGTCTGCTAATCTCTCTTTTTACTTTCCTACCTCAGGCTGGATCTCGTGAGTGCAGTTGAGGAGGAAACATGGTAAAGGGGTTTTGGGCGAAACCAATTGAAGAGGATGCTGTTGTTTTCAGGAAAATGGTCAGTAATCTTTCTTTTTCGATGCTGTTTATGCACTTCAACTTCAGTGCATTGCATTCAAGTAGTCAAACTCTCTTTAATTATAACATTCTTTCATTGATTTCGAAGTCTATCAAGGAAGATATGTCCCTTGTTTTCCCGTTTGAAAATACTGCCTCACATCACACCACATTATTGAAACGAGAGAGAGAGAGAGAGAGAGAGAGAGAGAGAGTGAATGAGAAGGGAAACAGGCAACAAAGGAAGTACAAACATCACCCCTCCACTGACGTTGAACTTTTGCTTCAGCCTCACTCCATTACTCCATCCTCTCTCACGCAACGCAGTGCAGTCCCAGGCATCCTGACCACCCTCTCAGCAGCCTCTTCTGCACTCAAAATGTCATATAGCATTAAACTGTGAGTATTCTATTACAAACATGAGAGAGAACTAAAGATGGATACCCTCTTGGGTTTTTGGTAGAGGAGCTCGGGAGGGATCTTGTACAAGTCCTCGTCCACAGCCTTGGGAGCTCTGATCCTCCTTGGCGTGGCCGGTGCTGTTACTGTGACATCACACACCTTCCCTTGCTTCCTCTGCTGCCCTGTCTGATACTGCTTGTCCCCTCCTCTCTTCTCCTGGTAAACCAAATCAAGTGTACAGTGCAAGGAGTTGGGGAACTTGGCGAATCTGAAGCTTATAAAGGAACCTTTCTCTGGTGGCGTTGGTGGTAGCTCAGTTTCGCTGGGGAAGACGGCACCTGGTAGAGATCAGCATCCTCAACGAAGGATTGACCTCGGACTAACCCAGCCTGCATTGCTGACTCGAAGTACTGCGTGATGGGAAGGTCGTCATAGTAATTCCAGCTCCCAAATGTTGGAATCTGGCGCCTGTTCGTCATGTCCTACAACGAACCCACAACACTGAACTGAGCAGATGAGAGGCCTTTTCTTGTTGGTAGCCAAATCAGAGTTGATTCTATGGGTTCTTATACAGAGATCAAGAAGAGAGGGAGAGAGAGAGGAGGGGGAGGGGCGGCTTCCTTGGGTTGGCTTCTCCGGAGGGCATGGCGTCTTTATGGGCTGCCTTCATAATGGGAGACCCTATTCCCTCTGATGAGTGTTTGTACTGTCTCTTTGCTTAGCTTTATGCCTCCCATCCCAAAGCCAACCTTAGGTGGTTCTTCCAATGCCCACACGCTTGGGTTCTCGAGTCATCGAGGTGTTGATGTTTAAGCTACAAGAAAAGCTTGCCTTCCTGAGGCCACGGCTTCCAAAGCTCATACAGTATGCTTAGGGTGTCGGGAAGAGAAATTAATTGACCAAACTCATGAATACTTTTCCTTCTCTTCTTATTATTATAATGTTTGCATTGGAATTCGACACCTGCATGTATCCGACCGGTGGGATTGCATCTGAAATCTACTTAGCTTCTACTCTAGCAGCTCAAGTTCCAGTTGGTTAACTGCAGACAGAAGAAGAGTTTTGGCTTGACAAGGATCATCATTTGGTCCTTCAGTTTAAAGGGGATGATGGATTGGCAATGATGTGTTTGTCCTTATTACCTTCCTAAATAGACTAGGGTTCTCCACATGAAGTTCTTGTGCGAGTGAAAGTTTTTGTATCAGTTTCTGAAAGATTTATCAGTACTCTATCATCATGAGGAAAACTTTATTGTTTTTGACCTCATTTAAAGAAGAGAACTGCAACTCTCAAACTAGATGTGTTGCGAATGGAGTTAAATGTTTGCTTTGCAAAGCTGAAAATTTAAGGGTATTTTTGGTGCTATATGAAATCTAGTTTTGAGTACGCAACTGTTTGTCTCAATAACATTAGATTTCCATTTGGCGTTTCTTTTTACATGGAGAGTTGAATCCGGAAACCTAACAGATTAGATATTGCACGCAGAGTCTTTGGCTCATTCTACGACATACATATATCACACTGCTCGAAGCAATGACTCGCAGAAGATGCATCGGCTACGGTTTGACCGATCTCTTCTCTTCTTCTTGTCCTCTCGAAGCTCTCACCATTCAGCAGCGCCATCACTCTCTCTCTCTCTCTCTCTCTCTCTCTCTCTTCCTCGAATTCACCCCCAACAAGCACATGAGGAGACACTGCAGCAGGAACACCGCCGCTGTTTGCTGCCCGCCATCTACAATTCCTCACCACGACCGCCCTCACGCCTTCCCATGGAAGCGATGCCGATCTACACGCCTGCCCATGCACGTGCGTTGCGATTCCTTCACGTAGACGACGACGGACTTCTTCCACCAGTCTCTCCCCTGACCACCCGCAGCCATATATCTAATGGCGGATCGCCGTGCAGACTGCGTTGGATACTGTCATTAATGCACACAATGACGGCGTCTTTATTGGTCGAGGGTGGTGGGTGCAACTGAGCTGCTGCTCTTTTGAGCTGTGTTGACTACTCTTCATCCAGTTGGTGATTCGGATGTTGTCGAAGAAGAGAACGGGATGAAATTTTTCCAAGAAAATAACAATTATTTCTTGAATAAATACCATTATAATTCACCTTTGCTGTTCGATTGACGGTGTTATTCCCTGTTTCCAAAAACATGTAATTCAACACGAATTCTTTAGACTCTCTCTCTCTCATTGCTGGGTGTAATCCGTTCTTAGGAATATATATTCATCAGAAATTTGAATAAAGAGTCTCGGAACTATCTGAATCAAGTTTATACCAAGCAACGAATGACAGGTTTTGATTGTTTATAAGAACTTTTGGGATTCGCAATGCCAGAGTATAAGTGTATAGTTTTATTAGTAATTAATGTCTCAGGCATTAATTCCTAGTCATTTCCGGTAATGTCTAGTGAAATCCCACACAAAAGAATTATATTTTATAATATTACAGTTCTGATAAATTTTTTTTATAATTAATTATCTTTAATATATCGATCTTTATACTTTTAAAAATTATATTAATATTCTTATAAGCAATAAGGAAAGAACATATCGAAATTTATAGTGGTTCAGTTGTTGTGACCTACATCCACTTCTGATTCCTTCTTCGTCGACGCCACCGGCATCCACCAGCGGTCTTCCTTCAATAGGCGAAGATCAATCATCTTCTTACAACTCTATTTTCCTTTTGTAGGCTCAAAAGAGAACCTTTGCACCCTCACTACCTCCTCTTTTAAACTTCATTAACACTTAGAATTTGAGGAGTTCTCACAAGATTACAACAGCATTTTCTTCCTTTTTTGCTCTCAATTCTTATGTATGTTAACCATGGATGAGAAAGGTATTTATAGGCCTAAAGTGAATTCAAATTTGGAGCATAAAAGTATCTCATTCCTGATTTTTGGGGTACCGACAGTACTACCGCTTGTGTTGGGCGGCACCAGCGCTTGCAGCACTGACATTGGGCGGTACCATTGTAACATCCCCTATTTTTGAAAATTTAGTAAAATGTTTGTTTGTAAAAATAAGGGCTATTTAATAATTATTTTATATTCAATGATATTATATTAAAAGTTTATGGCTAGGGATCTAAGAGTAAATATTAGAAGTTTGATATAATTTATGAAAGATTCAGATTTAAGTTAAAAGAAAAAAAATATATAGTGGACATGTGTCACTAGCTAACCTAAGGTTGGTGCCACTTATCTTTGCTCTAAAGATGACACCTAGCCCCTCTCATGCATGCATGACACCTTGCAACTTTTGCATTAGCCAAAACCTAAATAATTAGATGAAAGGTTAAAGAAAACAAACCTGAAGAGTTGCAGCCAACACGTGAGTTTGAGAAAAGAAGAAGAAGAAGAAGAAGAGCTTGAGGTTTTTCATCATTTTTCCCACATTTGGGATTCAAATAATTTTAAGGCAAGTGTTCTAACCCCATCCCACGGTAACCTTAATCTTTGTTTCCATTTTTATTCTGCAAAATTTGAAAGATTTAAACTGAGAACCAGACCTTCTTTCCTTTTGATATAAAGCTATGAATCTGTAATTTTTCGGTAATCTGACCTCTATGCAATATTTCGATCATAACATTTTGTAATAAACTCTGATTTAGACAAGACCTATTCCATTTGAAATTAGACAAAAAAATCTTTATTTTGATACTAAGATCGAATGATTTGAAGTTTAAATGCCTACTAAGACTTCTGTTTAAATTAACCCTACATATTCTGCAAAAACAAGGACTGAAATTTCTGACCTCTTGTTGCTTAACTACTTATAACTTTCTGCTGTGAACTCAGATTCATACAAAGTATGATTTATTCGAAGCTAGACTCAAAATTCTTTCTGTGTATTCCTGATTTGAATTTTTTGGAATACAATTGCTAACTAAAACATCTGCTTTCATCGACCCTATGGATTCAGTAAAACAGAGCTAATATTTTCAAACCTTTCACTATGAAGTTATCTGTAACACTCTGTTGTAAATTCCAATTCTTGTAAAACTTGATTTGTCTAATACTAGATTGACAAAGCTTTCTAATGACACCTATTTGGTATAAATTGGAGCATACTTGGTTATCCAAATAGTTCATACAATGTTCCTATCAAATTCTGCCAGAAATCGAGCTTTAGTCGATTTCGGTTTTCCTTGTTTCTTCTCTTTGGAAATCGATTTCGGCAAAAACTCTTACTTCAGTTAAGCTTTACATTATTACCTTAAATTCCTGTATACTTTTATCCTTTATTTATTTGTACATCTGCAGCTATCATCTAAAGATCATGTTTGCATCGTAATGATTCGGCACATGCATCCCATTGTTCTGCATTTGCTTTCGATATGTGCCTCTTCCAGTTTCATTTCGTTGGACATTGAATTCACCTAACTTTCTTATTTCAATTGAGCTATATGTGATTTCTTGAAATCCTTATATGCTCTTGCTTTTGTTTTCTTTCAAATCTGAATACATTTATGAAAGATTATGTTTGTATCGTATTGACTCGAAAGGCATATGTACATTTCGTTGTTCCGCATGTGCTTCCGATATATCCCCAATTCATTATTTACAATACCCTTTTGTACTCTGATGTTTGTGGGATTATTTGGACCTTTGCCAGAAATGGTAAAGGGTATGTGCTTAGAGCCCGCGATGCTCTAGATTATGTTTGGTGGTCATTCAGAAATGGATGGACCATATTATGTTTGGAATCCCACTTCACCTTCTATCTGTTTGATATGAAATTCAGAGCCGACCTAGCACTTGGGTAGGGTGAGAGGGCTCGAGTAGGAAAGGGCTACCCGTGGATGGAGTCGAGAACTCATCAAGGCGTGGAGCCACCACTGAGTTAAACCTCACATGCACTATGCTAGGGTACGACGTCTGAGCTTCTATTTCGTATTTGTTCTTTGATATGTTCTGAAATGCTTCTTATGCTTGCAAAATATTTTCATATGCCATTGATATCCAAAATTCTCCTTACGTCTTTGTTATGCCTTGAAATTACCATATGTCATCGATATGCTCCTTATGCCAATGATATGCTCCAATTACCTTTCCCCGATTGTATGAACAAAACGTGCTTCGAACGAAATGACATCGTAATTCTGCATTCATGATATCCAAAATGCTCCTTACGTCTTTGTTATGCCTTGAAAACTACCATATGTCATCGATATGCTCCTTATGCCAATGATATGCTCCAATTACCTTTTCTCGATTGTATGAACAGAACGTGCTTCGAACGATATGACATTGTAATTCTGCATTCAAGCAAAACATGCTATTGTTTCATCTTGTATCTCTGCTTTGTATTTTGATACCTTATTTGTTTGAAAATTGTCCTCTTTGCTATGGATATGTTAGTCATTTGCTGAGCTTTATATGCTCACCTCGTTGCTATATAAATTTTTCAGGATAGCTTATCGCTCACTATAATGTGTAAATTGGGTTGAGGCAGTGGAAGACTAGAAGATTTTGGGGCAAATATTTTGTACTTGATAGGTTGATGTTGTATAAGTTCTTTTTAGGTGTAATGAAATATCAATGACAAATCTAGATTGATGTATCTTGTAAATATTTGAAAAGTACCTCTTACGTCAGGATTTTGGAAATGTTAAGTTTAAAACTGTGTACTAATATAAACATGTAGTACATGTTGGTTTTGTGATTGCATTAATTGTCGGCTTATGGATTTATGATATAGTTATGGTTTAGTTAAGTTGCTTTTGAATTTTAATAATCATCTAGTGACATGA